AAAAAAAAAAAAAAAAAGTTCGTTTGGCAGATAGTAAAAGAGCAGAAGTGGGCAGACATGGTAAGAATCTGCCTGACGTGGTGAGAACCTGCCTGGCTTTCACTCAGGAGATCCTCCTTGGATTTCAAAAGAGCGCGCAGCTCGTCCACCTCGGTTGTCAGAGCTTTCACCCGCTCTTCGGCAGCTTGACAAGCAGCGGAACTTTCAGCGAGAGCATTCTGAAGACGCTCGATGTCACTTGTACGCACATCATCATCGACAAGTAGACTATTGTGTTCGTCCTCCTCCCGCTTTGCGCGCCGCTGGGGTGCTGCTGCTGCGACCCTGCTCTCCGCGGACTCTCCGGAGTGCATCTTGGCACTCCCTACCTCCTCCCCCGCCTTGCCACTCCCTACCTCCTTCTCTCCTGACACACACGTATCTATAGCTGTCGTGAAAGAGGCGCCCCCTTGCTTCGCATCGCCCTCACCCCCAAAGCTGCTGCCTGCGTGCTGCTCCTCCTCCCCCTCTTCTCGATTACCCGCTGCCATCCTACTCTCCATGCCGCGTCCGGCACCCTCAGTCACCCCCGCCCCTTCGTTCTGCCCTTCTACCCCACACATCACCCCACTTCCGCTATCAGGAACCATTCGATCTCCTTCAGCTTGCAATACTACTCCCTGCGAGTCCTCCATTGCTGTGTCTGCCGATTCCACCCCCACCATGCACATCACCCCGCCACCCGCCTGCGATTGGTGGCCATGGGAAGCATGACCAGATGCGTCCAACATGGCATGATCGTCAGTTACACTCGAGGGTTCATGCTCTTCTCCAGCATCCCCCGGCGGCTGCTCTAAAACTTGCCCACAGTCCTGTTCCTTTGCGCATTGCTGAACAGCAGTCGATTGTACACTAGACCCTCCTCCGTCCTCGCCTCGTTTCCCTTCCCCGTCACGACCGACCCCGACGCTCCTCTGTTCATCCTGACTGCATGATGCCATCTCCGTCGCACTGGATGCTTTTTCCCTCACACTCCGGCCACCCGATTCATCAACCATGCCTCCTCCTTTCTCCCGATGATCCTTCCAACCAGCCTCGAACGGTGCCCGAGGGAATGCCGCCTGCATTCCCCCTGCTAGTGTCATCATCATTAGCTGCCCTTCGTCCTGTTCTTTCGGCCATCGATCACTCCCGCCCTTCCCCTCTCCCATTCCCCGCTCCCTCAGCCCTTGCTGGGCCATCATCTGTGCCCGCTGCGCTTCGAGCTGCGCTTCCAGGTCCTTTATTCTCTGCGCATACAACCTAATCTGGTCCTTTTGATGAAGCATTTGATCTTGCAGCTGCCTTCCATACTCATCCTTCAGATACAATGCATTTGCAACCTTCTGTGCCTGAATCACCGTACCGCCGGAGTCGGCACCCTCCGAATCCCCCTCTCCCTCCCGCACCTGCGCCCCTTCCTCCATGAACCGCTCCGGGTCAAACGCATAAAGCATGGCCATGGCCGACGCAAGCTCCGCCTTCAGCCGGGCGTTCTCCAGCTCTAGCTTCTTAAACTCCATTACTTCGTCGATCTCGGCGCCGCCAACGCCATCCTCCTCACCACCGTCACGCCGCGCAGCTGAACCCTCCTCCTCTGCCGTTGACCGACGCACCACAGCTGCACCCTCTGTGCTTGTCCGCAACACCGCAGATGACGATGCACTTGCCCTCGGAGACGAAAGCCTTCTGCTCACCTGCTCCGACGATTGACCATACAGGCTCTCCGGCGCCCATTTCTGGAGATCTTCCATTTCCACATCCAGCAAATCCAGATCGAACGGCGCCAGATTCACCTCACATTGGCTCGGCAGACCCGATAGCCCCATCCGATCCATGATCTCTCTCGATATGTACACATTTTGCTGTTGAAAGAATTCTTCTCTCCTTGCCACCTCAGCGTCCCGAATCTGCGCGATCTTCTCCGCCAACTGCTCCGCTTGCCCCTTGTACCATTCCGAATACGCTTTCCGGAACACAATCTCCGCAAGGCAGACGCGGTATGCCGGCCGCACGCGGTGCAGTCTTACCAACTCATCAAAGTGCTTGTCTTGTTGATCGAGGGCTTCTCGGTACGCAGCCAGCTGGAAGCGCATGTCGCGGATCGTCGACTGAAGAGCCGCCACCTTCTGCAACTGCATGTGCACACATCGACTCATGTCATTCTTGCAGTCCCTCAGGTACAGCACCAGATGCGCAAGCCGCCGGTCGCATTCCTCCATCTTCGGTAGCTGGAAAGATGTGTGCCCCTGGTCCATCGGATGAAGATGGTTAATCACATCCAACGGTCTTAAGGAAGCCGAACGTTCAGTCGCCCTCATCCCCTCCACACACTCGTTCACCATCTTCTTCACCGTCCCCAAGTCCTTCCTGCAGACAAACACAAGATGTCAAACACGCTTTCTGTCGAGGATCGTGCATCATCCACAGAAAAGCCTTCCTCTCTAAAAACCGTAAGACTTGCCACCTCTTTTTTTTTTCCCCCTATCCTTAAATTAGACTTGCTCCATCTCTCTGTCTTGTCTAGCAACAAAAGGCAAAGCACACATGCACTCAATACACACACACACACACACACACACACACACACACCTGTCTCTTATACACATCTAGATGTGTATAAGAGACATACATAGCATGCATGCCACTACCTGCAAAGTGCAAG